CCCCACTCGACCCCGCCCACGTGCTCCCTGACACACAGCTGATGAGATGCTGGAACTCTGCTCCCCACCATCTCCAACAACCCTTGGGCCTCCCAAGGGTGCCTCTGCCAGCCTCACCTCCAGCCCAGTCACTCACCATCCCTGAGATGCCACCAGCCATAAGGCCAACTGTCAGGCCAGAGCCTGGCAGGTAAGCTACCCTTCTTCCTTTGCTGACACTGAAGTGTAAGTGGACCTTGCTAAGTTGGAGAGGTCCTCTTTGTGGGTGTCACCCCGGCAGCCACAGCCAGCCCAGGGCTCCTCCCAGGCCATCTCTTGCAATGAAGGGCCCACTTCCCCCACGCCCCCCTCCAAGGCGCACTTTCCCCAGCCACCCCAGGCCTCCACAGTCACAGGCACCAGGCACAAGTTCATCATCTTTAGACTTAAGGAATTAACAGGGGTGAGAGAGACTAAGCCAGGCCCAGGGTTTCTGGGCTCCTGGCGACAGGCCCAGCTACAGCAAACACAAAGGGAAACACAAAGCAGGGGTGTGGGGGACAGACAGCAGATTTGGTCTTGAACTTGGAGAGGGGGAAAGTTGTGATCCTCAGGAGTGGGGAGAAAGCTGTGTCTGAGGATGGCTTGGGCGGCCCCTAGGGCAGCCCTATCCCCCGGGGCTTGTCACCAAGAGAGAAGGGAAACAGCCCTCCCCTCCATGCTGAGGAAAAGGCACTTGGCTCAGTCTCCTCTTCCTGCTCGCCCTATCCGTGGAAAGACAGGGTCCTTGCTTCACTCCCCTTCAGCGGCCCAGGGGCCGGTCCTGGTTGAGCCTCTGGAAGAAGCTTTTGCCAAACTCGTAAGTGCTGATCATGATGGCGCAGGAGGGGGCGGCCTTGATGATCCTGGGGAGGAAGCCTGCGGCAGGAGGGGGCCAGGTCAGCGTCCACCCACCCAGGGCAGGACACACAGGTGCTTGCACACACACACTCACCTGCAAAGAGTCCCCTGGTGCCTGACTCAGCCCGGATCCTTCGCAGCAGCAGCCAGGTGGAGTCCACGTGCAGGGGTGTCACTGCAAATGCGAGGCGGCTCAGCAGACCCCACTTCACCTCGCTCACGCCCTGCCCACCCCACCCCTGCCAGGCCAGCCCTCACCTCTCACAGCCTCCATCGCTCCCAGTGCGACCTGGCGTTGGGTCTTCACCACGTCAAAGGGTAAAGTCAGCACCGCAGCTACCTGGGGGGGGGTGGGGAAGGGCTCGATCCAGTCCCAGAACCCCCAGCCCCTGCATCCCAGGGGTTTCTGGGGCTGGGAGGGACAAGGGCCTCACAGGGTCTGGCAAAGAGAGCAAGCGTGCTCCCGCACACACAGCTTGTGCGCTACTATGTAGGGACTCGCCTCCCAGTATCTCCAACAACCCTCAGGCCCCCAGGACACCTCCAATAGCCTCACCTCCAGCCCAGTCACTCACCGTCCCTGAAATGCCGCCAGCCACAAA